ATTTAAGAATGTAAGCTAAAACTGTGGAATCTTTACCACCGGAAGCAGCAATTGCTACGTAATCCCCTGGTTTAAATAATTTCGCATTGATAATTGTGTCATGTATTTCAGATTCGAAAACTTTAAAGAAGCAATCTTTGCATAATGCATGTCCAGTTTTTGGCCTCTGAAAGTTTTAAGTTTTTAATATTAATTAAACTCATTAGAGTGTATTCTTTAAAAAAAAATATTTAAGTATTTACGAAATAATTACCTTAAGAACGGCATTTTTTCCACAATTTAAACTACAAGGTACAGGCATTTTGTGCTTCTTATATTATTAATAATAACATATTTGTTTTTTATTTGAATTGCAAAATTTGACGTCAATTTGTAAACTTGCGACACTTTTTTTTATATTTTCAAAAGTTGGCACCGCTTATTTTTAGCGCCAGATTAAATACGATAATTAATTACGTTTGTTAATATTAAAAATCTAACAATGTTATTTTAGTGTTAATTATTAAAAATATAACAATTTTATTTTAGTGTTAATTAAAAATAGTTTTAGTGTTATTAAAAATCGTAGTTAATAATAGTTATATAATGTTTAATATAAATTATTCATTTATTTTCTTATCTCGTTGGATAACATAAGTACAATTTAAGTTTCATTATTTATATATATATATATATATATATAGTAATTATAGGAGTAATATTATTTAATGCCAAAGTAATAATAATAATAATAATGTAAACTTTACTAATTTAAATCCGTCGATCGAATAAATGTTTTTTTTTTTTTGGATTTATAAACAATGTCGAAGGGCTCCAACAGCACCGAAAAGAACAGCACCAGATCCAGCCCATCGCAAACCTTCATTTGCCATTGCTGATAAATTTCTACCATGGCAGGAACGTATAAAACAAACGGTTGCACCAGCAACAAAACCTAAAATTAGGCCATTTATAATACCATCTGCTATTCCATGTGAGCACCGACTCATGTTTATTTTCTATAAATAATAACGATGACATTTATTTTATATAAATCTTATAAGTAAAAAGGATCAGATGAAAAAAATTAATAATGTTATACATACCTCAATGATTTTTATCCATTAATAAAAAAAAAATTTATTAAATTAAAAAAAAATTAATTAATTTAAATAATTAAAAATATTTTTACGCGTATTTATCAAAAAAAAAATTTTCTCAATAACATTTACATTTAAATCGTTTCATTTTAAGTTTAAAATTTTCGAAAAATAAATATTCCAAATTGTTAAAAGTATATTTTTACTAAAAAAATTATTTATTTTATGTAAAAAAAATTTCTAATATCTTATTACAATTCACAAAAAAAACACATCACGTGATTTAATTTAGTATAAAATATAAATTTTAAACTAGTTGACAGGTTTTAAAAAAACGTATAAAATATATAAATACAATGCTTAATATAATCAAATCTTTTGATTTATTAACTTATTTGAAAAAAAAAAATAAAATAAAATTTATGTAGTTGAGTGCATGGCTTTGGTTAAAGCCGTTTTTTAAATTCAAAGAATTAGTTTTTTTTTCTTTTTTTGCAAATAAAAATGTTGTTGGCAAATGTTTACGTGCACGAATTAAACATAATTTTTTTTTGTAAAAAAACTGACAACTTGTTAAACTGCTTTTATTATTATTAAAAACAAAACTATTATGCTTTAGGTAGAAAAAAAAAGTTATTTTGTTATACAAAATGCTAAACTTTATTATCCAGAAGGTTTAATTTTGCCCTTATCAATCCAATAAATTTTTGGGCGTTACATAATAATAATAATTTCATTAGTTTTTCTTTTAGTATGTAGAAAAACCTTAATTTTAGTATCACTACAAGTACTAAAATATTTAAAAATTGAATCATTGGCTACCTGAATACCTTTTGATCGATATAATAAAAAGTGTTTCAGGCGGGGAGCAAATACGCATTTATAAATAAAAGAAAAAAAATACTGAATATTCGGTGGGTTTGCCATATGAAAAAGGTCAAAATGTCAATAATAATAATAATAATAATAATAATAGTGGGGGCATAAATGTAGGAATAGAAAAAAAAAAAAAAAAACGTAATTTTAATAATTAGCACGGAATTGTTTTTTTTTTTTTTTTTATAAAGACGAAGGTTGAATTCGGTTTCAGATCTTTAAAACCTGTTTTTTTTTACTAACATTTTTCATTGCAATAATAATAATAATAATAATAATAATAATAATAATGATTTTGCAAAATGATTAACCGATTTCCTCTTTTTTATTTTTTTC